AATTTTTTTATATTTCTTTTAAAAATTGTTAATTTTTACTTAAATTTAGCTTAACTTTAGGCTCAAATTTTGCTTAACTTTTGGCTTGAGTTTAGCTTGAGTTATCTCAAGTCAAGTCAAGCTTAACTTGAAACTCAATTCAAGTTAAACAAGTCAAATATTTTTGACTTGACTTGATTTAACTTGACTCAACTCATTTAACTTAAAAGTTAGCTCAGCTCATTCAGAACTCTAATTTAAGCTATTTCTTCTACTATTCTATATAAATAGGTAACTTCTTATGATAATACATTCAAATCCAAATAATTAGTTACTCACTATGATCAACTTAAAAAACTTAACAGAATTCTTCTTAAATTTTATAATAAAAGAGTATACTCTAAAATCTAACCAATTAGAATAGAATGAGAAGAAGATCTCATAATATTATATGATATCATAAAAAATGCTGATCTTCCTATACAGCATATTTTAGATCATATTACTCCTGACAATATAATAGCTACTGAAAAATATATTTTAGATCTATATAGAAATATAAAAGTACTCTCTAAATTAGAAGAAAATAATATCAATACTAAAAAAATTAAATATTTTATATAAGATATGCCTTTAATATAAATCAATTTCAGGAAAAATGATTCAATCTGCTTTTGAAAGAAATAAGAAACAGATTATTTTAGACAGATTATTGATCACTAGTCTTTCTGACTCTAAAAAGCTTATCTCTAATCCTAAAAAATTAAAATATTGGTCAATAATTATTTTCAAAACTATGCTATCCTTACAATTTCAGCTATTTTACTTTCAGATCAATAGCTATTACTTATAAAGATTTTATTGATAGTTCTTGATATAATCAACTTATGGAGCCTTCTACTTTTAATAAATAGATAATTGTGATTGCTAAACTTCCTAATGAGAAAGCAACTAAACCTTTTGGAATATATAATGAACAAATTAAACACCTCAAATCTAATCTTTAACTTCTTCTTTAGAAACTTATACAGATGTGTTTTATAATTGATAATATAACTTCAAAATAGAAGATTGCACATATCTATCTAATTCCAAATCTATGTAATGAAAATATGATATTACTAAAATATGTTCTATCATCTTACTAGAAACTATCAGAAAAGCCTTTGTAAAAATTATTACTAATTATTTATCTTCTATTATAGCTAAATATAGTATTTGTGAAGAAAATAATTTTGCTAAACTTCTTGATGGTTCTACTAAAGGCCTCATTAAAATTATAAATATGTTAATAGAAGATATAGTAAAAAGCAAAAAAGAAATTTGAATCATTTTATAAGATCTATCAAAAGCTTATGATTGTATTAACATTAACCTTCTATACTTAAGCTTACCATATATTGATTAAAAATATCTGAACTTTGTAAGTTTCATTAAAATTTGGATCTACAATTTTGAACTTTCTTCTAAAAGATCCTCTATTCACTTTCTTGGAATCTGAATCAATATCAACAATTCTTCAACTTATGTCAAATAACTATATCTAAAAACAATTAGATCATTCATCATAATACTTAAAAAAGCTATTAACAGATAAATAAATTTGTTATATTACCAATATGATTCTCTTTTCTCTTTGAAGTATTGATTACAAATCACCCTACTATCTAAAGATAAATATAATAAGATTTCTTCTTCTATTAGAATACTTATAAAATATAATTTTTACTTTACTATAGTTTCTGACGAAAAGAATAGTGGTAGAAATATCGCATCTATTTTAGGCTAAAATATAAATTGCATTTCTGATATGAATCATTGTTTATGATCAAATTGGATGCAAGAATCATAATATAAAAGGTAAGTTTGAAAAAATAAGGTTTATTTTTGTTTTTGTTTTGATTCCTTAACCAAAAAAATGTCAAGCTCTTTTGAAATTCAACAAAACTCCATTAAATCTCTCTGAACCAAAATATACATAGTGTAAAGAAAATTTATGAATGATTATGTATTTCTTTGCATATATGTGAATGATATATCAGTTTATTACGTAAAATTACCAATATTATTATTAGTTATTCTTTTAGCTACCCAAGAAAATGGTCAGCAAACTAACGTCACCATATCAGAAAAATTTTAAAACACAACTATTTCACTACTACAGGTGGATTTAAGGTCAAATTAGAAGAAAAAAATTCTGAATTTGAGGTTAATAAACATACAATACGTCACAAACTTAAAAATCTTAGATATGTTTCTATTATTCTAAAAAAAGTTTTTCTCTTGACTCAGAAAGTGAAAGATATTAGATTGACTTAATCATGTGACTATTTGCATTACAACTAGAAGAAAGTTGTTTTTTTCTGATGAAACAACATTCCAGATATTTAGAATACCATTCTGAGTGACATATATAACTGTGATAACTAAAATGTCACATATGTCTTTTATGTCATATAGTATTTATATTTCTTATATTTCTTATAGTATATTTATTATATTATTTATATCTTTCATATTACATTTATTTATTATAATTATTATAGTTATTATATTTATATTTCTTATATATCTTTGAACACTTTATGTAATTATTTTTATATAAATATACCCTGAGTCTTAGGATAGTGAATGACAGATTTTTCTACAAGATTTTATTGTAGATTTTAAAGTATTGTTTTTAGTTTAGTTAATATACACATTTATACAGTACAGAACACTCATTTGTTAAAGACATATTAAATAAACAATCGACCTTTTTGACTCAATCTATATAATTCTATAAACCTTTACCTTCTACTTATCTTATTACACTTTTAACTTTTAAACAATCCCAAAGAACTGATCATAATACTATTATAAAGATAAAAAATGGAAATAAAGTTTTATTTATTATGCTAAAAAAATTATTTTTATAAGATTTATAATACCAAATATACTCCTGTTGTTACTGATTTACAAGTTAAAAATGTTAGTAATATAATTTTAAATCATATTTTTGGTAAAAAGCAAAATATTAAATAAACTAAAGTGGAATTATATTTGAATGCTCCTCGGTTAATATGAAATTAAGATGTTCTTCTTTAGTGAAAAGTATGTATTAATGATAAATTGTATAATAAAAATGATTTAATTAATTATTTTAATTATTTAATTTATATAATTATATGAAATAGAGTATTCATATTTAGCCATAATAGCTAAAGGTTATCTTGCAATTACTAAAAAATATATTTATTGATTATTTTAAGATTTATAAAATATTAACTAAAAATATTTTTAATAAGTAATAAACGTTCCAGTAAAATGAGATTTTTCTGATAATGTCAATTTAATAACAACCAAAAGATGTAGGCTTAAAGCTAATATAATTCATATCTGCATGTATTTGAAATTCTGGTTGTAATAACATATATATATAAAAAAATTTAAATTAGAATTAATATACAAAGAAAAATAAATAAATTTTACAAATTTAATAAATATACTTCTTTTAAATATTCAGTTTAATAATTTTTTTTTTACTTTCAGTATTAATATTACCTTTAAAAATCCAAGTCAAATCTGAATTAAATAATAATCAATCAGATCAAATCTAAGTTGAATAATATTTAGGTTGAGTTGAGTTCAGATTTTGTAAATATTAATAGATTCGAATATGAATATACTTCAAATGTGACCTAATCTGATCCTTATAAAACATTATATATAAATAATGAAACTATATTAAAACCTTAGTAAAAAATTAGTAAAACTAAAATTTAGTATTAGATATTTAAGAAATATATAATGTTTCTTTTTATTTTATCAAATATTTTTTTATAATAGAATCTTTTTCCATAATCATCATATTTTATGCAACTTTATACAAATTAATTACTTATAAAAAATTACAATTTGTAGGGTTGCTTGATTTTTTTTAAAAAATTTATAGTTAAACTTACTTTTACATTGTTTTTATGCATATATTAAATACATTTCCAATATTTACTCCCATAATATTAATATAACATATGGTATTTTAATCAAATTTTTTTGATAGGTTACAGATCCCAATAGATTTTCAAAAATAGTGTATGCCTTTTCTAATTAAATTTAAAACAAGTTATTTTGCAAATCTTTTTCTAATTTAGGCCATGCGTCAAATTTAATTCTTATTCACTTCATTTCTTACAAAGAACTGTGCATATTTTAGACTTATTAGGTACTCTCGAATAAGAAAGCGGGAATATTGGCTGATCCCAGGCAATTCTATTAATTTCTTTGCCTCTCCAGATCTGATAAATACATTTTAATGATGTACTACACTTATCCAACAAATAAATCTTTAGAACTTTGTACCTTGGCTTTATATTACGGGATTATAATCGTAATCGGTTGGAAAAAATAAAAGTACATCTATATGTTTATTAATTGTTCTGTCCTTTATTTCTTATGCCATATGTTGAAGTAACAAGAATGGGGACGGGTACATCTAAAGTCATCTGATCCTACATTTTAAAGGATCTTGGTAAAATTCATTCGTTTTGCCAGATTCGACCACTAACGTCTAATGCTGAAAAAAGAAAAGAATAGATTATGAAACAACTATCCGGCTATAACTTATGAAGCAAGCCAATTGGGCAATCTAAAACCAGACATAATGTAAAGCTCAGAAAGATATGGCATATCGCAGCTTTGGTTTCAATCTAATTCGTACGGATTATATCAACGTTTAAAAGTTCAGTCTTAATATGAATGTGAAGGAAATAAGTAAGAATAATATTATTTACATACCTATTCAATATTAAAAACCCCAAATTCGTTAATACCATAGTTTAATTTAATAACCTCTTTCCTTTCTTATGTGTATGTATGTTCAGTAATTTATAGACAAAAAATAGACATAAATTTATTATCATAAAAATGGTACAATTTTTTTTAACGTTGGACAATCTAGATCTCCAAAATGCATTGTCCTTTTTTTTGTTATTATTAATGATAATAAAATATACAAATGAAGTATTGATAATATACATGATTCAAATTTCAACATAATTTTGGTTTACAAAAAAATTTCTAACGAAATTAAAACTATAAAAAGCACCCATAAATAAAAGAAAAGGTGTTAATGGTATTAATTCCTTAAGAATATGGCCAAAGTCCGGAAGAAACGTAAGGGGATCGTTAGAATCCGGAGGAACATCACGAAAAATAGGCCTTGTTTCAATTGTTGAAGCCAATCCATATCCATCTACTTTCAAAGTACCATTCGTACTGATTATAATGGAATTGCCTTCTGTCTTCACATTTATAATATTGTAACTTTCCTTTTGAAGATAACATTTAAGCGCATCAATATCAACATCAGCCATTGTAACAACATTTCCATACTCGTCCAGCCGATCCGCTTTTCCAGTAAATCGAATGGTTGCATTGAATGGAATGTCAATAGTAATCTGATCTATTGTAGCCCCAAATTCTATTGAAGTCAAAGGCGGTACTATGACTTGTTCTTGAATCTTATATGTAACTTCTTCTGATATGGTTTCCCTATATACCTTCTCATCTTTTGAAACAAATTGTCTCTCAACCCCATGACTATAATCAATACCTGTATTTATTCCTAATAACCCGAATATAAACGCACTCATATGAAAAGATGAACTAACTTTATTGCTAACTTCCTCGCCTAAGAATTCTGCTTTCCTAATCTCCACAACATAACTATTTAATCTTTTTTCAATTCTATCAATTGTTGTTGTTATTGTTGCATTTGTTGGGTTCTTGATTGTAATATTACTAAGTAAAAGATTGGTACGTGTTTTGTACTTACTCAGTTGATCTTCTAGCCTTGGGGGGTATGTAAATTTTGTTACTAAAGCGGTCAAATTATAATTTTCAGGTACAAATGACCATGTTTGAAATGGGTTGTAGTGATTATACTCGTTTCCAATATATACCAAATTACCGTTGCTATCTAAATTTCGAGATTGAGAAATCAGATGCTTAATGTTATATGTATCATTCTTAAGCTTTGTAAATTCCCAATGCTGAAATTGGTTAGCATTTTCGGGAGTACCGGTATAAACTTTGTAGGAATTACTGTCTAAATTTCTGCCAGAATCCAAATGTACGATGTTATATAAACTGTCATAAGCTTTCCGAATTGACCAGTACGAATTTAAATTTTTTACGTTAACATCACCGCCTTCACCATGTAAATGCATACGGGACTTCAAATGAACAATATTATAAAGAACACCCTCTACTAAAGTATAATCGTCTGGATCATCATTATTGACAATAACTCTGTTGTTGGGAATTAAAGCACATCTCGCCAAACCTGCGAAAACCAGAGTAAATAAAATAGAGATTTTCATTTTGTAATAAAAATCTTTTTAAATGGAAAAACATTTAAATGAAAAAAACGAATGTCGATCATAGCCGTATTTGCTTTCATTATAAATTAAAGATTTTTTTTAGATTAACCCCCTTATGCTACACCAACCAATTTACTAAGTCATGTGATCGTTCAGAACTATAATTTGGCTGTAAAAAATTTTTTCTGTGATATATAGTTCGATATAACAAGTTTTCGGTATAAACAGGTTCGTTATATCAGTGCCGATTGTACTTTTTACTCATTCATTTTATTTCTTAACAAGAACTGAACAAGAATTGCTTTAAGACTTTATAAGATATTGTACCTTTTGTTACACTCATATTTTCAAAGAACAAGAATGGAGATAGGAAAAAGTCGATTAATCCACTGAAAAGGATTTATCAATATTTATAAAACAAGCCTTATACCAGCAATATCTTATGACACAAGCAATCGAACCAGATGAAGTTTTAACATAAATGACTTGTAGATTTGATCCGATATGTAAGTCTTTTGTCAAATCATCACATATTGAATGCTTTGTTGTTATTATTATTCAAATATAGAGTTTGATTATAAATATAATATACAAAGACAAAAAATTATTGATAATGTTCATAAGTAATATGAGAATGTTTCCAGTTCCCATGAAGGTTAAACTTTATTCAATTTCAACGTAATTTCAGTTTTCGAAAATTTTTCTACCCAATTTAAAAATAAGAAAAGCAACCGCAAAATAAAGTGAAGGTTTAAATTGAGTAAGAATATCGTCAGAACCTGGAGAAGTATCATGAAAAATAGACTTTGTTTCAATTGTTGAAACCAATCCATATCCATCTACTTTCAGAATACCATTCGTACTGATTATAATGGAATTGCCTTCTGTCTTCACATTTATAATATTGTAACTTTCCTTTTGAAGATAACATTTAAGCGCATCAATATCAACATCAGCCATTGTAACAACATTTCCATACTCGTCCAGCCGATCCGCTTTTCCAGTAAATCGAATGGTTGCATTGAATGGAATGTCAATAGTAATCTGATCTATTGTAGCCCCAAATTCTATTGAAGTCAAAGGCGGTACTATGACTTGTTCTTGAATCTTATATGTAACTTCTTCTGATATGGTTTCCCTATATATCTTCTCATCTTTTGAAACAAATTGTCTCTCTATCCCATGACTAAAATCAATACCTGTATTTATTCTTAATAACCCGAATATAAACGCACTCATATGAAAAGATGAACTAACTTTATTGCTAACTTTCTCGCCTAAGAATTCTGTTTTCCTAATCTCCACAACATAACTATTTAATCTTTTTTCAATTCTATCAATTGTTGTTGTTATTGTTGTATTTGTTGGGTTCTTGATTGTAATATTACTATGTAAAATATTGGTACGTTTTTTGTACTGACTCAAATTGTCTTTTAAATCTGGAGGGTATGAAAATTCTGTTACTAAAGCGGTCAAATTATAATTTTCAGGTTCAAATGACCATTGTTGAAAACGGTCATAGTAATCGTACTCGTTGACATTTACCGATTTGCCATTGCTGTCTAAATTTCGATATTTAGTAATCGGATGCATAACAATAATATTATAAGTGTCAGTCTTAGGCTTTGAAAATACCCAATACTGAAGTACGTTACCATAATCTGGAACGCTGGTAAAAACTTTGTTGTAATCACTGTCTAAATTTCTCCCAGAACTCAAATGTATGATGTTATATAAACTACCGATAGCTTTTCGAATTGACCAGAACGAAGTTGTATTTTTGACACATACATATTCGCCGTCACCATGTAAATGCATACGGGACTTCAAATGAACAATATTATAAAGAACACCCTCTACTAAAGTATAATCGTCTGGATCATCATTGACAATAACTCTGTTGTTGGGAATTAAAGCACAACTCGTCAAACTTGCGAAAACCAGAGTAAAAAAAATAAGTGAATTCATTTTTTTTTGATCATAGCCATATTTGGCTTCCACTAATTTAACCTTTTTTGCAAATCCCGACTTATATGGTATAATGGTATAATTTTGGTCATATTTTAAATAATCCACTTTTTTTTTAATTTAAACATATGGGTTGTGATCTAAGAAAATCAAGTTCTGAAAATTTTTTAATAAAATTGAGATTTTAATTGCATTTTAATTTTTATTACATTTAGATTAAAATGTAATAAGATATTAATTTTAGTCAAAAATTTCTCAGAACTTGATTTTCTTAGATCACAACCTATATAACTACCTTTTTAAGAAAATTTAAAAAATATAATAATTATTAGTAAAAATTTATTTTTATTTTAATATCTAAAAAATTAATTTTTTTGAATAATCAATTGGTTATTAATTATATTTAATTTATTATTATATAAATATTATTAGTAAAATTAAATCATAAGATATAATAAATCATATTAATTATACTTTAATAATTAAAAATTTTAATATAGTTATAATATTTATTATAATTAAATATTTTTACAAAGAAAAGTAAAAACAAAAAAAAAATTTTTTATTTAAATAAAATAAATTTAAATACAATAATTATATAATATTCACTAATTATAATTTATAATATTATTTTTTGAATTGTTTAGCAGATAAATTTACTTACAAAATTAAAAGAAAGTATTAATTTTTTATAAAATGTTAAGTATTTATCTTAATAATATTATTATTATATAAAATTATAGTTTAATATATAGTCAAACCTTGATATAGCGAACCCTTGATATAGCGAATTTTTAAATCAAATATATTAAAATTACCTTATTATAGTAAACTAGCCAATTAAATTCTT